AGAAAGGGAGCCTGGAGGCAATATGTGTTCCTTGTCTTAGTTACCATGTAGGTTCGTGCCTTGCTTGATTGAAGCAACAGTCCTGTTCTCTGTCTGCAACTGACAGTCCATCAAGGTCTCTTAAGTTTATTTTTGGTACAAAAATGAATAACTGCAATCTGTTTTACAGCTATGCATTGCAGTAATGAACATTTAAAAGTGCATCACCATATGGCATGATCACCGGAGCATTGTAGGTTGCGGGGGACATAAAACATTGTGAACAGCACCCCAATGCTCCATTGCGTGCAATAGGAACCATTTGTGAGTTTTGATGCGCTGCATTGAAAAAAAAGTTTCAATTTTACATGTGTTGTGGTGCATTGCAAGTCCATTCAAAATAAATGTGCTGCCTTAACGCAAAATAATGCGCATTAACTTTCTATACGTTATTAACAAGCTTTCTTTTTAATAGGGATGCACCGATACCAGTTCAGATACCAGTGCCGATACTTGGCATTTTCATGAGAACTACCAAGGTTGCAGAGGTTGCAGCTGGGACCTAGCTCTGGCGCTCCACCACTGTCTGAATTCATCAGTCGATATTGTTTTAGAAAAACTGTCACATGAAAATAAACAAAAATGTATCCATACTTGTGTCTGTGAGTACTTGGGCAAGTACCGGTACTTGTACTTGCAAAAATGGTATCAGTGCATCCCTATATATACAGTATATATGTTTACAAAAACAAAATCATACATTAAAACAGAGATGTACAAATCCCAGGAGCTCAGTGTGCTCCTTACAAATGACAGCTGCCTCCTAACTTTTGATTTTTTCTCTAGTCTAGTCTTGGAGCTTAAAAAGTATCTGTACTTGTACTTGTACCGAGTACGGTACTTGGTATCAGTGCATCCCTACTTTTTAACCACAAAAAAGTTGTGAGTGTTGCCAAGTATACCAACATTTTTTACTATTAATTTGAAGAACATTGGTCTGTTATTAAGTGCAATTACTTAAAATACACTATAAATGCAATACTTAAAAGTAGGGATGCACAGATACTTTTTGAGTACCAGTACAGATACTTGGCATTTTCATGAGAACTACCAGGGTTGCAGCGCTTGCAGCTGGGACCTGGCTCTGGCACTCCACCACTGTCCTGAAATCATTAGTCTGTATTGTTTTAGAAAAACTGTCACATGACAATAAACAAAAATGTATCAGTACTCGTACTTGTAAGTACTTGGCGAGTACCACTAATCGTACTCGCAAAACTGGTATCTGTGCATTCCTTTATATATAGTTATAAAAACAAAATCGTACATTAAAACAGAGATGTACAAATCCCAGGAGCTCCGTGTGCTCCTTACAAATGACAGCTGCCTCCTAACTTTCGAATTTTTCTCTAGTCTTGTCTTGGAGTTCGAAAAATGTATCTGTACTTGTACCGAGTACGCTACTTGGTATCAGTGCATTCCTAGCATATATTTTTCTCTAGTGTAGTCTTGGAGCTCAAAAGTATCGGTACATGTACTCGTACCGAGTACTGTACTTGGTATCTGTGCAACCCTACTTAAAAGGCTTAGAAAGCAATAATATCCAGTAATAAACCAGTGGTAGTACCACCAAATCTGCTTTGGTAATACCTCATGTCACTTCATTGGGGATATGTCAGCCATTTGATGATTTTTGTTTATATGAGGATATGTAAATATTGCAAGCCATGTGTATTAGGGATGTGCTTGTTTGACCTCCCCATCATAGATTGTTTCTTGCGCTGTCAATGCATAATGCAACAAAACAAGTTTTCATTTATATATCAGAGGAAAAAGTTTTAGTTCACCCTTTTGTGGTATATATGGAGCCGTACTCAGTCTGTAGTGCTGTCAAATAAACATGCAAAAAAATGATGTTCATAAGGGAGCATAGGTAAGAATGTGTGTACTGCAAAGAGGGGATCAGGAGGTTCTCTTGTTTATAAAATCCTGTTTGTAAAGAACCTTATTATATTACAGTTCCATTCCCTTTCCAGAATAATGAAGTCATAAATGTCTGTGCCGGCTTTTAAAATGTAACTTAGGCATTGGCATTCCTTAAAAGGGTAAAATGATTATTCTGTAAGAATGCCGGTCTTACTAAACATCCAGAAAGTGTTTTGGTATTTCTCCTGTTAAAAAAGAAAGTGAATAATGGCACTGAAATAAGGTTCCCCTTTGTTTGCGCTTGCCCTGGTAACATTGTAGCTTTTTCTTGTAACTTGTTCTGTATGTTATTAACAGACTCCTCTCTCTTTTGTTATTTCATTTAATAACCAAACAGTGCCAAAAAAGTATCCAGAATAATTTATAATTTTTGAATAGTAGAGCTATTTTCAGAACATTTGCAACGCTAAATCTCGTAGTTTTAGATGATCAAGCTAGACAATATCCTGTCTCAAAGCATTGGATCTTAAAGGAGATCTGTTTTTTCCTACATGGCAGCACATCTAGGGTGCATTTAAACCAAAATGTGTGCATTAGACATAACTTAATGCAAGTGTGTTAACTTGCGTTGGCATAGTATGTAGTACATTGCGTAACATTGCATTTTTTTTTGGGGGGGGGGGGGATTTCTTTTTGTTTGATTTTTACACTAAGCTATATAAGGTATTGGTTCTGCCTTGTGTTTACACAAGTGAGCAGTTCACACCAGTGCGCTTCATTGCATTGCGCTGATTAAAGTAGAGCCTGCTCTACTTTTTTTCAGCGGAGGGCAGCGCAACACAACACATTGGTGTAAGCTGCTCCTATGTGCACCCATTAATTTTCAGATGTCCTTGTGTTGGCATCCATTAAAAGCGCAGCTGGTGTGAATGGGGCCTAAAGGGGATGAAACACTGTGCTGGATATACAGTAAGAGAGGTAAAGGTTAATTGAGAGCTGAACAGTTCTTTATTTAAACCTTACTCAAAATTGCAGATTAGAATATACAGAGATGCCAGGGATTTTCTCTTGTTGCTATGTTTCAAAGAAGAACAGCAGTTTGGGTTTTCTCAACATCCAGACAGAATTGAGGGGCATGCCTATTCCTCTCCTTTGCACTGATCATCTTCCAGATCAGTTTGTCTTCACTGAAGCCTTGTTCTCACTGGTCACACTGTTATGCCTTTGGCAACACATTCAAAATGCATGGATTTCAGAAATGACATGGTTTCCAATGAACCTATTCCCACCAACCAGTTTTGTGACATGTTGGGAAATAGTCCTGCCTACTGCATTTTGTTTTCAATGCCAGAAATCAGGTGCTGGTCATTTTCAGTGCTAAAAATTCTGAAGTAGGATGAGTGTATTTCAGTAGATTTGTTCTGTGTGCTGGCACTTTTGGTGTAAATACTATAGATTCCCAGTGTTGTCCTAACTAAAAAAATATGCCAGCATTAATGCACACCTCTAACACATGAAGTAGATCTGATCCTGAACTGAATGACATTTGGTTTGCACGGTGTGTTATAAACAATTGTCATGTTTATTTTCAATATATTATATATTGTTTTCACCTTTTTACCCATACCTTTTTTTGCACATCAGTGCTGCTGATTTCCAATTTACTCTGCATGCACATGCTTAAGGCGACAGTTGCAAGTTTCTTTGGGTCAGTACCTATGCAATGTTTGTCGACACAGTTACATGTAGTTTCCACCAGGAGTGCATGTGGCAGCATGACCCCAGAGCAACATCCTATAACAGCAAGTGGCTGAACAAGGGCCCTTATGACATGATTACCAGGTATTCGTTCAATGGAAACTGCATATTTAAAAGACCAAACATTTTTTTACATTTATAATACAACTAAGCTCTATATAAAATTAAAAGATTTACCCTTGTTGTGGCTCCCCCTCTTTACTTCAAGGGTTAAACTCTTGTTTTACCTAGGAGATGATGAATAAGGTTATATACTTACCTTGTTCCTCACTTCTGTAGGCTTCCTTTTATTCATGTATCAGTCCCCCAAAGCCTTTTCCCTTCTATGCTCAACCTGTCCAAGCTGTCTGATGTTGCTCCATACAGGAGGTCCAATTCTCCCCCATACCCTGAAAGCACCAGATATTTTGCAGTGATGGTAGCGAAAGACAGAGCTGTGGGAAAGGTGTGTAGTAGAGTATAATGTGATTCGGGTGTACTTTACACCTATTCTGTCACTTTGCCCTGAATGGACTAGGTAACAATTTCTCTTGAATTTGCCTGGATTTGTTAAAGTAACCAAATTCATGGTTACTTATTCTTCAGAAAAAAGCTGACTACAGACACTCCTCGGTTTACGATGGGGTTACATTCTTATAAACCCATCGTAAGGCAAAGGTATTGTAAACCGAGGAGTGTACGCAATAGCCAGACTGCTATTGGCTATTTCAAATTGTAAAAGCCAATAGCAGGCTAGCTATTAAAACCCCCGCCCACTAAGAAGTGGAGTGAGCCTGTGAGAGAAAGTTCCTTCTTAGGTCTGCTCCTCTGCTCAGTGGGTGGGTGCAATAGCCAGCCTGCTATTGCAGAAGCTAGCCGGCAGGTGAATGGGGAAGCGGAGCCCCTTGAGGATGGTTGCTTAAGAGTTTTTATTAACTCTCAAGCAACAAGAAACTACAGTTATCCGGCACCTACTGATCCCCGTGGGTGCCGTATAAATGGGAGTTTGCTGTACAGTAACCTCCATTGTAAATGAGAAAGATCGTAACTCGATTGATCGCAACCTGAGGAGCATCTGTAATTGAAATAAACAATCACTTTGTCTCTTTTTAAGGACAGTACCATTGATGGCATACCTGTAAATTTAAAAAAAGAGAAAAAATTGATGTATTACCAGTGATAGTGTTCTTATTCTAGCAGAAAATTGGAAAACAAAATCTGGAATCTGAATGGCCTCTAAAAATGAAGCATGTGTCTTAAGTTTTGATAAAACTTTAGTTTTAAAGATTGCCTTTCTAAACATTAGAACTGTTAATCTTTTTTTCACAGTTTAATTCTCCTTTCATTCTCTTTTACAGGTTAGTTCTTGGGTGACCTGGCTGATTCTTGCTGCAGGGTCCATGGAGGAGAAACGGGAAGTCTTTTCTCACTTGGTGCACATAGCTAAGTGCTGCTGGAACATGGGCAATTACAACGCTGTGATGGAATTCCTGGCAGGGCTCAGGTACGACTTAATTGAGGAGAGGCGAAAGCAGCTGTTATAAACATCAGTTGGCACTATGTCAGATAGTTTTAAATAGCCATACAATTACAAACTTTTGTGGACTGTTTTGAAATAATCTGAAGAGGTCCTAATGTTTACATGCTTAAGGCAGTCATGTTTAATCTTTTAAAATATTAAGTGTAGTTAAAGTAAATTTTAATGTTGGTGAAGTAGCTGAAAGAATGGAAAACATTAATGATACATTTTAGTGTTTGCAGAGCTAGATAACACTCAATCTGCTTGACATGATCAACACTGTAAAGTATTTTTAATCTATACATTTCACAGCCTTTTAAGTTGGCATGAAACATCCTGAATAGCTTGTTAACAGAGGCTTTACAAGGTGTTATTGTAAAAATATAGATCTCAAGTGTTTCCACTCTATAGACCGCTCAGCACATGGATAGCCTGTTGAGACATGTTCTGGATGTTTGCATTTAACCTAGACAGTAGAGACTAGTTAAACTCCTCACAGTTTAGAGATATAAAACACTTGTGTGTCTTGATGGCCCAGGACAAGGAGTGGCCTCATATAAGGAACATGTCTTCTCTAACCTTTCCCGCTTTTCAAAAAAGTTTGAAGGCTCATATTGGAAATGTTTTTGCTGGGGGAAACCAGTTAGTTATGATTCTGTGTGCAATAACAACATCAGGACCAGTATACTGACACATTACAAGTTCACGATGGATACTGCTGTCTTCATTAAATTTCCACTGTTGACTGTGCCAACAGAATTTTACATGGCCCAGGAGGCAGAAACATTTTAGTAGATATTAGCATTATTTTTGGTGATCTAGCCCTGTAGATGTCCAGATTAAATAGCTAATTAGTGTTTCTCTGGAATGTTGGAAAATCTGTGAATGAGCACAGATGGCTATTTATAAATTATTACAAAGTAATAGGAACATATCTCTGTTTGTGCATTTTTGGGTGAGTCAAGAAGAATGCAATGGGTCTTGATGGTTTAAAAGACAGTCTGATCTTTTACCACCTGTTGTTCTTCTGTGCTTCTTTGGCCACAGTGCTGGCCACAACTTTTAAATGTTGGTTCTACAAAGCCACTGAAGCCTAAAAATTGTTACAGCTTACCACCATATGAAGTACATTAGAAATTAATTCTGCACTGTTCCTTTCTGATAAATTCTGTATGCAATTATAACAAAAGCATTTAATTAATAGAATGCTGCATGTGTAACCATAGAAAAAATAATGTTTGCACTTCTCATAGATCACGGAAAGTGCTGAAAATGTGGCAATTCATGGATCAAAGTGACATTGAAACTATGCGGAGCTTGAAAGATGCCATGGCTCAGCATGAATCATCATCTGAGTACAGAAAAGTGGTGAACAGAGCACTGAATATACCTGGCTGTAAAGTGGTTCCTTTTTGTGGGGTGTTCTTAAAAGAACTGTGTGACGTTCTTGATGGAGCAGCAAGTCTGATCAGGCTGTGTCCTCACTACAATTCTCAGAATGAAACACTGGAGGTAATTGCATATATACATATTGTTTTCTGTTTACTGCTTGTTAGGAGTGTCCACCCTAATATCCTTTTTATTTTCAATGTATCATTTTAATCTGTGAGAAATGTCTGGGGACTGCTATTGCTGACCTACCTTGGAAAATGTTACTTGCCTGGCTGTTATGTTGACCTGCTGGCTTTAGTACATTGAATTAGTGACACATTTTGCTGCCCTACAAACTCTGGAAAGTACAATTGTGTGAAGGATTCCTTACACTGGAATAAAGTAATATTCATTGATTAAGAAATAGACCAGAAACGTACAGGCAAACTAGCTTGATTCTTGACAGGCAAGATGATACTGGATCCAAGTTTAGGGTGTATGTGTGTTTGAACCTCCTCTACTGTTACATCCGATAATACTAATATTTCACTTCATGTATTTCACTTCATGTAAACCTATCAGTCTAAAAACTGGCAAAGGTACAAAGGTGTCTGCTGCAGAGTTCACTGACTCTTGACTTTTGTCAGCACTAAGCCTAGCCCCTCTTCTTGCTAGAATGTCCCCCTCCCATTTCACAGTCCAATGTCACAGTGCCATCTGGAAACTAAGATTCTATAGAAAGTGCTATAGAATTTCAGTGCTAACTTGGGGAATTATTAAGGTCCAAATATACAGCAATGTCCTGAAATCTGGACACGCCAATGGGATTGCTTGGCAATCCAAACAATTGATTGTTTGGCAACTTCAGCATTTTTGTTATATTAGGCACTTTTAGGATCTGCCGGTGTCAGAGCAAATTTTGCAGTTGAAGCTTAAAGTTTATTTCCACTTTTGCAGTTAAATTGGGATAACACCTACTTTATATTTCTTACATTTTCTCATTAACAGAACAAAAAAAATGGCTTCTTTTAAATTGCTTACAAATCCTACCTAGCTTTCCTCCTTATGCATTGTTAGGAGGGGGCTGTGGGAAGTTGTTTACGCTAATTAACCCTGTCTGTACTGTGCTGGCAGTTTTCATTATCAGTTGGAAACTAGACAGGCACACTGTGCTAACAAAGGGAAAAAGACTTAGAAGCAGTGTATGTTAATGAGCAGGAGCTCAGTCTGTCCCTCAGTTTGTCCCTGTACATTCACTTTCAAACTTCTCAGAGTAGATCGGAATCTGCAAAAAGGCTTTCACCAAATGAATACTTATAAATATTATAAACAAATAAAACATTTTTTTTTTTTAATATGCTGTGTAAATAGGAACAAGAAAACAAGAGAACAAGGTTTTTGCAAAATGGACTGCAAAAGTAGAAATATGCTATAAATACAGTCCTCCAGCTATACAATATATCTTCACTTGACTCAAGTGTTTAACAGAAAGCCTGGTCTCAATATTTTGATTAGCACACCAAAAAGGTGTTGATATGAATACGTACATCAAAGTGTCTAAAACAAAAAAAGAAAAATGAATGGGCAAAGTGGCAATATTTCTTAAAAGAAATACCGGGCATGGGGATCTGCCACTGCATATCTTTTTCTGAAAATGTCAGTTTCTTGGTTTTCTCTGCCAGTAGTACTTCGAGCCACTAACCTGAAGCAAGTCTGCGTCAACCAAAGTCAGCGAGAACTCTTTTGAACTGCTTACTTGTTCAGTGGCTTAGGAGCTACCGAAAACACTGAAATAATATGACAGCCAAGCAACTATCATTCTCTAAAGTAGATGCCTTTCTTCGACTAAATTTCTCTGTATATCTGAAGATACTTAGGCTTTTAACTTTTGAATTAATGTATGCTTAAAGTGACACTAAACTCAGGAGTTAACTCTTAAAAATGCATTCAAGTACCTCAACTATTAACAAAAATGTACCTTATTTGTGTATCATTGGAGTGGAACTCTGCACTCCTTACTGGAACCCCTTAGTATAAATGAATGTACTGAAGTAACCACGGATGGCGCTGTGCATCTTCAAATATATATGCTGGTGACATTTATCATTTATTTGTGTATCACTCGGCTATAGATCCTCTAATCATCCCTGAATGGATGCTGACACTGTCCTTCCTTCTGGAGGGTGGTTAATTTTGTTCTCCATAGTCCCTGTGTGTGTTGTAATGTAATAAACTTGCCACATCTCCAAGCTTGCTACAGCCAAGAGATACACAAATAAGCAACATTTTTGTTGATAGTTAAGGTTCTCAAATTTATTTTTAAGATTTAACTTCTGAGTTTAGTGACCTTTTAATAAAGTACACACAATGTTATTTATTGTGACCACTTTATAAGAGTTCTAGTAGAAGAGATAGATACACAGGGGCTGTTTACAACTGGTTAATTTGAAAAGTTTTTGCACTGGATTTAATAGAATAGCATCAAGTAAGTCGGGACACATATATGGATGGAAAAATTAGTTTTAACATCCTTCTGCATTTTTCTTGATGCTTTTAGAGGTTGAATATTGGTCTCTGGCTTCCTTCATAGTGGACTTAACAAAGATATTTCATATTAGACGGTGTTAGTTTCAGTATATGTATATCATCCCCTCCCCCACCCCCCCAAAAAAAACAACGAATTCTCCTTTAGTATTTGAAAGCCACTCTTGTCCCAAATAAAAATAAATAAAAACAACATAGTACATTTAGTACATAGTAAAATATCTGTATATGAAATAATCCTTTTGTTATAATGTCACACGAGGATTGTATTCACTGTTACCACTTCCATGTGAGTATATGCAGTGTGAAATGCTGGCAGGAGGGATTACTTTCTGTGTAACAGTCATTCACATATTTAGATATAGAATGAAAGTTATCTTTAGGAGAAATATGACTCCGGTTCTCTGAAGTTTTGTGGTGCCAGTACAAATATATCATGCAGTCATGCATGACCTTTTGTTGAACTATGGGCTCAGCATAAAACTACTTTTATAAGAACAATCAGATTGAATAGCAACAGTGCACTAAAAGAATTTAGAGTCTATATATTTCATTGTGAATGTAGTTGTACATATTAAGCATATGAAGTCCTGAGTGAGTTGAGGCTCATCTCTTTAATATACAGCACCCACCTGCCTGTAAGTGTGAATGTCAACATAGTCAAGAGATGACTTAAAGATGTTTGAATGGCTGCTTGGAAGTCACGCCATTGTTTCCATTCTAAATGTTCTGCTTCTCATTGGCTTACATGATACATCTTTTCCAGCAGTCTTACTATGCCATACATTTAATGATTTAATAAACACCCTGTAACACATGTTGGTTTGATGCATTACCATTCATTCTGAATGCCACTGGATTTCACCAATGCATGTTATGTGCTGGGGAATGCTAAAAATACTACATGCACATTTTTGGTGTGTTTTAGTACATTAGCCAGTCCATTCAAACATTAACGTGGTATAAGGTGCATAAACGTAGAGCTGTAGCGAGAATGGGCTCTTGGAGATGACAGTATTTTAAAGTCCTAAAATTAAAAAAAAAAAAACATATCCAGTACATATCTGCAATACATGCACATTTCTCATCATTTTATCACTTTAAAGCCTCTGCAAGTACAGAAAAATACCTGTTTGTCTGCTAGAAATGCACATTGCTTCTATGTCCTGTTGTGGGTTGACAACACACAGCATTTTTGTGGACTGAATAGTGTCAGCCCTGCCTTGCTGTCTTTTGCTAAACTACTCAAACTCACCCACTCTCCCATCTCTATAATATAGGTACTAAATATTCTGCAGTTTCAAGATAAGAATTATGAGGGCTAATTAGACTTCATAAGAAATGAGCACAAGGCACCCTTGGCAGTCAAATGCTGTGTTAGGGGTAATATGTGAACAGTTGTTCCGTATCTCTATAAAATACTAGTTGCTAGACTACCATTCTAATCCTCTGGCTTCAATGATTTTAGTTCTTGATCTAGGACAAGAATGGACAAAAAGCTTTCAAACTATGCTGCATGCTTACTCCAGGTCAATACATCAGAAAGCAGCAAATGAAAAACCACCAGGCAGCTATATTTTCAACAGGAAGTGAACAATGGCAGCCTCCTCCTCTTTTGTAAACCACTAACAAAAACTGCAATAATATCTTTCCAGTTTGTGTCTGACTACAATGGACAAGACAATTTTTTGCAGCGAATAGGGAAGGATGGATTGAACAATGCCGAAAAGGAATCAACCGTAAACAATATTATGCAGACTATTCGCAGTTGCAACCGCAGTCTAGAGTCTGAGGAGGGCGATGATAATGTCAGTGAAAGTGGTGTCTCTAGAAAAAACTCTGTGATGGACCGAAGCAGATTTCAGTAAGTATGATACCTATGTTTCTGTGCTGCTGAATATGTTTTTTTGAGTTGTAAATAATTGCCTCTCCTTGCTAACCTGCAAGCTTCCAATGTTTGAGTATACAGTTCGGACTTTTCTTTGACTTTACTTGCTGCATACATGTCTAAGGTCACTAGCTCAGAAAATGATTCAGGTGCAGCTAGGCAATAAGCATTTTTCAATTTAGGTAGCTCTTTGCTACTCTCATGACAAATGTTTGTTATTACAGCACACATTTACTGCCTTTACTTTCTTAGGCCTCGTTCACACCAGGGTGGTTCAGTCTCATAGATTTTTCTGCGCTGAACCGCCGACATAAACAATCCTATACATTCTTAAGGGGACCGTTCATGAACCGCCTGCCGCCCGAAATGCTCCCTGAGCTATTTTTTCCCCCGCGGATTCCAAATAGATTTCAATGGAAACGCGCTGATCAGCACATTTTTGGGCGTTTATAATTGTGTTTCAGCGCTGAAACGCAATTAAAAACACCCCAAACCGCCCTTTACAAAATTTGTGCTGAAACGCATCAGTCCTGGTGTGAATGGGGCCTTAGGGTGTCAACTTTCTTGGTTAAATATTTTTTAAATAACATAATTTTTATGTACAAAGACAGAATTGAGCATTCAGTACTGTAGCTGCACAGGCATAGAAATGCATCAAGAAATGAGATACTCCATTGGCATGTACATCAGGTAGTCAGGCACGATAAAACATGGAATACTGAAGGTGCAGCTTGGAGTCTTTTTGACATCTTGAAAGTTGGCTTGCTGTTTTTTAACCTCCTGGGAAAAATCGGGGAAAAACATTACACTAGAGATTCTCAAGATCTTCTGTTTTAGAGACATTAGCTGTACCCTGGGAGAGAACTACCTTAATATAATTTTGAACTGTGGGAACTATGTTCTCATTTTCAATAACACTACCCTTCAGGTACACTCTCTAACTTTCTGCAGGTCCTGGACCAGAAACAAAATATCAGCTCTCATGACAAAAAATTGAGTAGCGGGACTAGCCAGAAAGATGTTGCAGATCTTTACAGCAGAATAAACATCCTTAAATTAGTTTGGAGACAGAGCTCTGCTCAGGGGGTAGTTGTGGGTTAGGCAGAGAAGCATTAGCAGTAGGTGCATCTGTCTCCTTTACCCTGTCCCTTTGCTGTTTTACTGTGCTTCCTGGGCATATTGTAGTGTCCCCAAAGGAGTCCCCATAGTGAATGTGCAAGATAAAATCTCCGGCTGGAGCTCTCACATATGCATCTTCTCACATGATT